GTTTATGGTCATGTTACAAAAGTGACATGAACGGTATAGTTAATAAATTATTGTTCATGTATGCTCATTTTGTTTAGTTACATATTAACGTCTAATTAAACTTCATTTTCTATTTTGTTGGTATATTTTGATGAGCCACTGTGAAATGAGTAGTAAAATAAATTCCATAGAACTATCTTTTTTTTGTAATATATATCACTTAGAGAAAATTTTGTCATCAGTAACTTAGTAGAAGAACATAACGAGTGATTAGACGAACGAAAACTTCAGTTTTCTTTGAGAGAAGACCACTAATTCATTTCCTGATTTCAAAAAACATCTCCTGAATTTCTCCTGATTTTTCAGTAAAAATCTTCTGGTAAACTCCTGATTTTTCTCAAAAAACTCCTGGTTTTTGAAATTTGGATTTGGCAGCCCTGGTCTATACACATCATACCTACTTCATTATTGATTTAAAGACGTTCTTATCATAAAACGATCTGATGAAGGTAGGTGGAGCAGAAACGTGTATCGTTCTGATAGGCGAATTCTCAGAACTAGTATATGTCACAGCCTAAGTAAGCAGAATCGAAATTTTTAGTTTCCAATTCGTATTCGAAGACAATTAATTCTTTTCAAATATATCACCCTAAATTATTCTTATTTGAGAATAAAACCTATACAAGCAAAAACTGAAAAACTTGGCCCTTCTAAATTTGTAGTGGCACATCTTAGTAAGACATGTCGGCATCAATATGACTTCTGGTTCATTAGATTTACAAGAAAAGGCTATATCATATGGACGACTACTTTTTAACTATCTATATTAGAACAGATATTACACAACTGAATTATCCTATGATCAAAATTTCAATGAAAACTGTCTAGAGCAGACTACTCGTTCACTAAAATTTTGAACAGAGTCAGTCATTCTGGAATAAAAATAGATATCCGGTAGTGAAGCGAACTTTGGTGTTGTATTATTATTTTTACGGCATTTCTCTATCTTGAGATATTTTCTATAGTAAAGCTGTTTCATTAGTATAGTAACGAGCACAAGAGAAAACCGTATTTTTTTAGGTGTTGATTTATATCGAATAGTAATTAGTAAGCATAATTAATTTATTGAGGTCACAATAACAGTGAAAATGACTTCTATTACTCTTTTAAACAAGCACTTTAAACATGTACAACTTATTTTCTATTGCAAAAAAAACACACAATAAAATTCAAACAAATTTTCTTATCATTAGATTATTCTGTTCATGTAATTGAATCATATGACTTCATGATGATGGATTAAACACGAGCTCTATATAGTAGGAAATCCATAAGATATTGTTCTTCAGGAGTAATATAATGAAATGATATAGTTTGAGTACTACAACAATTGTAATGCTAAAATGAAACAGATACATCGATAGTTAAAAAAAGAAATTTGTTTTCAACGACTTACAGATTGTAATGGATTTTCAGCACGTTGTACAAGCCAATTAGGGAAGAAACCCATAAAATGATGAGAAAATGGAAGTGGATGAAATAATTCACGATTTTCTTTATCCAGTGCCTTGCCTGGATAAACACCTTTTGTACGAAGACATTTTGCTATTTCAATATCTTCAGAACTACCATCTTTAGTACAATTTGATGCCGGATCGTTATATGCTTCATAAAATCGTCGTAATGATTCCCGACTCAATACATAAGATGCTCCACCTGAATGGTATCCCATAGGAATGTGAATCTGAACATAAAAATCATAAAGAGTTTTAACCAAAAAACTCTTTTATAAATTAATATCATGATTATTCAACTTCAAAAAAGATTTCATTACAAGATTATAATCTAGTTCTTGTCTTATTAATACACTATATTTATTAGAAAAGAACGAATAAGTATACTTTAACAGACTAGAAAAAAAAAACATTTTTTACCATAATGTAGTAGTTTATCTAGTATGAAAGTCAAGTGGGGGTACTTTTCCGAAGATCAGGTTGACTATCGCATAGCTTGTGCTTTTTTTCAGCATGTGCCATGTGTCTAATTTCCGAATGTTAGATGTGTACCCTACCGAAGTTTTAAACCGCCCATTCAAAAGAAATAAATCTGAATAAAACAATGTATTTGCAATACTATTGATGTGATCATTTTGTGGAAGACCTAATAATTTACAGTGTTATTTCATTAGTATACAATCGATGAAGACGGTTTCAATTTTTACATTTCTAAATTAGATAGGTACAGCCCATTTGTATGTGTGTTAAATAAATATTTGCGTTTATTTAAGTCATTAAGGGAACAAAATGAAACGATTCCAATCTATCGATTAGCACACTAGATGAAAGGTTATACATAATTACCTGATAGGTATATCCAAATGTAATAGGTTCTGATGAATTTTGTTTACTTAAAAATGTTTTCAAATGTTCTACAATCAAATATGTATCATCATCTGCTTTGATAAACCATTCAAAATCATTCAAATAATTTTCATATGCAAATAAAAAGGCTAAATTTGATTTTTGTGTTAGATGATGATAACCAGCTGTTATGTTTTTAATAGGTGGAATGGGTATTTGTTCTGCAAATTTAATTTGTTCAGGTGTCATTGTTTTTCGATCATATTCTGTTATGAAAAAATAACGATCACATCGTGGTGCCCAAGTTTCATTTACAGCTTTCGCACGTGTAAGAAAATATTTTGGTGTTGTTAATATTAAACAACATATACGTGGTAATTTTGTCTTATTATGCTGTATATCACGATTAAAATAAAGACTAATAAAACCAGGGTCAAAATTTTTCACAGGATAAGTCAAACTAAAGATCGTAGTTAATATGATCACAGCAAATATAATACCAATCGAAATGAAACGTTGTTTATTAATTGAATGTGACATTCTATAAATGATCTTTGTACTTTAAATGGAAACTATAAAGAAAAAAGATAAAGTTGGTAAAAGTGGTTTATATTCGATTCGATCCTATTTGATGATTTCTTATTTGAATTTGTTCTAAGTTCAGTTTCTCAAACTGCCTCTTTTCCTCTCGTTCATGATTCATCTAGTGAAAGTCAATTCCTACTTCTCTTCACTCTACTCTTTCAAAAACAATATGACTTTTCATTTAATAGTAAACAATTCATTCTCGAATGCTCACTGATTGAGTATTATAATTCGACTTAAATCAAATGATGAATCAACGAACATTATTAAGATATGATATAGTTGGTTAAGTTTATATGAAAAAGTTACTTTTTGCTTTCCGTAGAATAAGTAATTATTTTTTTGATGATTGGAACATGGAAATATCGAAAGATCGATTAAGTTCATCTGAAAACATTTTCTTTCGTTCTGTGTAAAATGAATAATAATATTTTTCTATGATATGTATAACTTTTGTTTTTTTTCTCTACATTGAGTTTTAATTTTCGTCATAATTTCTTTGATAACGAGGATATGGTAACATTAAATGATTAATAAAACTAAAAACAAATATTTTTTATAGTGATTTTTTCATAGACGAGCAGAGTGTTGGGTTGAAAGTTTTTAAAAATAAATGGTTATGGTATTGAAGTATAATAAATCGTTGTGAGCGCTGAGAATATTGAAAGCTCAATTTGTTCTCTGAACAGTGTATGTCACAATTGACTTGAGAATTTAGTTGAGTTTAAAATGCACGAAATAATTAAAACGAAAGCTCTCAGACAAAAGTTCTATACTAGGGATAAACTTTTATGAACAATACAAAATAATTCATGCGGACAAGAGTTTACAAAAGTAAACAGACTCACAATAAATACAATAATGAAAAATTTTTTTAAAATTTCTTTCTATTATACTAATAAAATACGAACAATTTTTGTTGTGTGCATTTCGTCGAAGTGAATGCTCTATTATGTTGATTGTATGAGTCATACAGTGATCCATATTTGCACCTGTAGAAGCTGCTGCTGTGATGTGATTAAAATCTAGATCTGTCGCAGTACAGTACAGTACAGTACGCCATATAACAATTTCCCGATTTCGCAATGATTTTTAAGAGACTCGGAAAATGTCTTCCGTCACTGTGCTAAACTAGAATAACTAGATTTAATCTATCAGATTCATCATGATTCTGACCGTTAGTCATGTAGATACTCAAATGGGATACAAATCCATGCAATTTTACAATCTCCAAAAAAGAAGCTGCCACTACAATGGCGTCGACAGCGATAACAATGCTACTACACGAATATCTCTGGTATAAGACAAGTAGTTGATATAAATTTATTTATTTCATTAGTTTGACAATATTTATGGAATTTCAGTTTTTTAAATTTAAGCAGTTCAATGACACTCATTTAATAGTAAGTTTTTCTATAAGACCTATTTTGTTTCATATATCATCCAATCTACTGTTTTGATATAAAAAATTAAATTTAAATTTCATTAATACTTATTATCATTTATTATACACTCATATCATAATGATAAGACGTACACATGATATAAGGCTCCTTTGTTTTTAAAAATCTCTCTCATTTCGTCTCTGCTCATCAAACATTCGATTCAGTTGTTTTAAGAGATATCAAATATCTATATAGAAATCCAACTTTGAATATGTAATTATTTATCGGATCATTTATTTTTCCCATCTTGTCATTATCAGAAAAGATTAATAATGAAAATTTATACACGTTGCAGGAAAATAAAAAAAAAATGATAATTACTCAGTGTATAAACCATATTTCGATTTTTATTTGTTAACAATATTTGTTATCAGAAAATTAAAAATACTATTCTAATCTCTCCTATATTCTAATATTGCCTATCACAGCAAACATACAACAAATAATGTTTCCTTTCTCCTATACTTCTAATTTGAGTGAGATACTATAATACAAAATTATTCAAAATAATGTGATACCACCATCAATAACATGAATTTGCCCCAAATCTAGGTTATTGCGTACAGTTCAGTTTCGGTTGAAAAACTTCGAAAACTAACGGAAATAGGAGGCAGTACCTCGAGCTGGAATACTACTGGCTTTTTTCGTGCTTTCCAACGGGAAATGACCGAAAGTTACATAAAAAATCCGGTGCTCTTCTGGCATGGAATATTGTCTCCTAGTTCAAACAATTTTCAGAGTTTTTGGCCCGAATACGACGACTTTTTCGCATTTTTCTAGTCAGTTCTGGGTCGCCTGCATGAGCTGAAACCATCGAACTTAGAATATTTTGTAAACTATTTATACTCTTCTATTTTATATATCGCTTTTGACAATCATTTGTTACCCATGTAACCATCAAACGCATTTTTAACGCAGCTGGATGCGTTTTTGTCAAAAATGTGAGCGTTCGCACGCGTTTTGTGCCAAACCAGAGTTAAAACGCAGATAGACGCGTCGAATAGTGCCTTCCTTAAACGCGTTTAAAGAACTTTAATAGTTTGTTCGCGTTTACTGTAATAAACGCGTATAAGTGCGTTGAAATTCTAATTTAGAATGCGTTGAAATGCGTTCATGTCTTTTCAGGCGTTAGGTTAATGTTGAAAAAGGAAAAGAAAATATTTGTCATTTAATGAATGCTTGCTGACTGGCAGGTTTCATAAAACGCGTTTCCGTACATACTTCTATGAATGCATTCCATTCACAGAAACGCAATCAGATGCATATTTGTTTTTGGAACGCAGCAGGAAGCACGGTTACAAATCTATTTTATTAAGTCTAGATAGGTAAGTAAGAAAGAAAGCTGCTTATAATAGAAAATATGAACATAAGTCGGGCAAGATACATCTTCACTAAAATACGGTCAATATTGGGGAAAATGCTTAGCGCAGTATTATTGTATCGTATAGATTCAGTAGCTACATACTAACAGAAAGAAATTGCATTCAATCTAGTTGAGTTGGTATGCATATTTTTGTATTAAGTTAGTTGAACAATAACAATAGAAAAAAAATATATCTGCGAACAAATCTTTATCATCAATGTTTCAAGAAGGTAAATTCGATGGTTTTAGTTGAAGTTTTTCGTTACTAAATAGTAGCACGTAATTATTTCATAATTTGATGATTTCTATCTATAGCAATCTGAAATGTCACAAATCGACTTCTGCCTAGAATAAAAATCTAGATAGTGGATATTATAAGAAATATTGCGCATCTATTCTTATCAACTCTAGAATTATTCGAGGATATTCGTTACACTAGATACTATCAGTTAGTTTTTGACATTCTCATAAAGATTTGGCCGAGTTACGTTTGATTTAATAGATTATTATATGAATGAATACTCCTGTCATGATGAACTGGCATTAATATACCTGTCATCACAAATATTTCAGGATAACCAAAATTATGCGGTTCATTCTAGCTTAATTTATAAAATGTATGCCGATGCACACACAGCAGATTATTATCGACCGCTAAGTTTTCGTCATTAATTCCATTATCTGGTTTTTGAAGAGGAAAACAATTTCTATGAACAGGTTATTTTACTTTGAATTACTTTATTTCACTTATTATGAAGATTCAACTAAATTTGGAAATCGAAAAAATATATATTGTTTTGACTGTTTTTCAAATACATGAATAATTTTCTCAATAATTTGTTCCGGTTTGATGTACATGTACATGTTGCACGATTCTAAATTACCAAAAAGAACGTTTTTGCAAGTTATAATATCTCCATTTATATTAATATCAAGATATGAGTTAATGGTTACTGGTTGCACTTGACATAAGTACGGACATTCTTTTGTGCAGTTGATACGAATAATACGACGTATGAAACCTAATCGTAATTTACAATTAACAACAAATAAGATACAAGAATCGGTAAATTTGGATGCTTCATGACTTGATGAAGTAGTAAACCGATTAGAGCCAACCTAAAACAGAATTCATTGTTTGTTCATCATTATATGATGCAGACTTACATAGCATGTTTTAAATAGTTCAATATTATTATTGTTTATTGATTCTTGTATTTGCTTTAATGCAACAGGATCAGCATCTCGAGTACAAACACGTACTTGAGTTTTAATAGTTTCTAATTGAGAATCACATATAACTGTTCGTTTAGTTCTGTGTATATTTTCTATAAAGTTGCGTAATGAAAGATTAAAGTCAGATTGTTCAGCTTCAATGCATGCTTCACGTAGTATTCGAATGTTGTTTTCAATTTCAGTACCATGACGTCGAGTAGCATGAATTGAACCTGTTAGTGTTCCTAAATAAAATAGGAAAAAGATGCGTTTAGTTTTTTATTTCACAATAATTTGGTGTTCCCACCCAATACACTTTCAAAATTGAAGGTGCTATAATTACTACTTGAACCACATGCACTCACACTAGCCGAAAAATGATGAAGACTGTGTACGCACTGTACATTGTGTCGTGGTGTATACAAAACAGGAAATAGACGAAGAAATCGCTCATACAATACTCGAATTAATTCAACTTGTTCTTTATTGATTGATCGTGCTTCAACAAGATGGGTAGCAACAACAAGGAGCAGAAAATGATTATAATACTTTGTGGATAAAGAGGATTTAAATGCTACAAAGCCAAACAATAAGAGAGATCTATACTCGTTGCCTTTGTAGACATGAAAATTAATGATTGACCGTGGCATTCTTGTTATATTCGAAGGATATTTGTACGTGGACAGATATTTGTCCACCTGTTTTATCTTTGTATACAGAGACCATGGTTGTCGACGATATCGACGATCAAACCATAGGCGTGATAATCGTTTCTACGTGTAAAAGAGAAATGTTAACAAAAATAAAATACACAAATCTGTAATTTTTTTTCTTATCTTTGTACAAAGACTTACCATGACACCGTGATACACATTATGAAGTGTATCCGATAAAAAACTATGACCGACATCAAAATATTTTAGAGGTCTTAATACACATGGACCAACATGACCTCTCATCATATCACGTAATTGTTCTTTATCATCAGGTTTATCATTTTCGTCAATATTAACAATTTCATCATGTGTAAAATTTGATCGAAGACGAGGTTGAATTTGTATTTGAGGTAACAACGGAAATACTCTAATCTTATTCTTTGAGCCTTCATCGATATGAACCGTTTGACCTAAAAAAATTATACATGTTAATATTTGGCGTTTAAATTTTTATTGAATAGATACACTTACGTAATTCTCTGAACTTTAATGAGAACAAAAATATTGAGAGAAAAACTAATGTGAATGTTGACAGGTAGATATATTAAATAGGACAGAATATGAAAGTAAAATAATCTTCATTGTCCTACTCTCACTCCAATATCCTCACCTTTAATCTCATTTTTGTTTTCGATACTATTGTTTCTTTCAAAATTAAGAATACCATTAATAAGAATCTCTTAGATCTTAAGTTTTTATAAAAGAGATTATTGAGTATTTAATTAAGCGTAAAAGAAACTCTTGTGTTCATAAGTTTAGACAGACTGATGTATAAATATAATGTGCAGTCCGAACGCATGTATATCTGAGACGAATCAAATTTTTGAGGTAAAAGATTGAATAAGACTACGCAAGGTAGGACTATATGAGCTATAAAGCTATTAAAGATATAAGGGTATAAGACAGAAAAATTATTTATACATATGTAATATCCTATATTTTTATATCTGTTAATGGATTCAATGTTAAAGATATGAAGCCATAAGCTAAAGAAGAAACAATTGTGCAATATATGTAGAATCTCTCCAGTTGGCAGTAAAGGATGAACGCTAAATAGTATGATTACTTAATCGTTAAGCAAAAAACGAGTACTACTAGTTCCTGGATACTCCAATTTGAGAAACTTGTTGTATTTGGTTATTGTAGAATATGACTCTCAATACTATGAGAAAAGCAGGGTAAAACTCTCCATCAATAATAAAATCGATTGAAAAAAACTTGTCAGAGCAATACGTTCGAAAAACAACTGTTTATATTAACTAGCTGTAAGAGACAAACTCACCAGCCAATTCACAGCGACCACAGCCATACGCTCCAATAGGTTCATTTAAATTTTGAGTAATCGCTTGCGCTGGCTTGTCTAAGCAAGCTGCTAACAGAAACACTCGAAGTGGTTCAAGATCACCATTGGATGCTTTTAAATCAAAATATCTTCCATTTTCTAACTCTTTCAGTTCTTTTACAATAGGAGTAAGTATAGTGTACATTTGATCTCGTGATGGTTTTGTTTTACCGGACGATACTCCGGCAATTATAATATTTTTCATTTTAAATCTTTCATCACGCTTAAGTTCATTAACAACAAAACTTATCACCCATAAAGATGCATTCGAGCTTTTAGCTATCTGAATTCCATCAATATTCATTAATAGAGATATAAATTTTGTTTGTGATTGTTCTAATAAAATTCGACCATATGCTGCTCCATCAGTAATATCTTTCATAACATCGATTGTGTATGTGGATTGATTTTGACGTTCAAAATTTAAATATTGTGTACGAGCAAGAATGTTTCGAATTTGTGGTAAAATAGGCATATGTACGAATTTTAAAGGAGTTTTTTTAAAATACTCATGTTGACTACATTCAACATTATCACAATGAATAGCAGTTGTGCAGGTTTCATTGCACTCATTACAAATGTTAATAATTGTTGATTTATCACTTGTCTGAGTTTCACGATGAAAAATACGCATAATTCGAGAATAACTTTTTGGAGCATTGGGAACTTTTAATAAACGTAAAAGATAACATATATGTTTCAGACAAATATTCGAAAGTTTATGTCGGGCTTTCAACATGACGAGAGCTGTTGCAATCTCTTTTTCTGTTAGTTGAGAACTTCTAAAAATATTTTTTAATAATTTTAAATCGATACGAAAAAACTTTTTACAACTTTATCGGAGCAAACTCATCATTTTCAAATGTATCATTGTAATTCAATTTAGTATCTTTTTCATCAATTGTCAACCATTCTTCTTCATCATCATGTTTAACTAAAGTATCTAAACTTAAGGAAGATGATGAAGTCATATTAAGCATACGTTGTTGTTCATTACTAGAAATCACAAGAACAAGAATTAAAATAATCATATAGCTGAAGAAATAAATAATTATATTGCTACTTTTTAGAGCATGATTCATTATTTGTATCGATGTGCAAATGTTGTTCAAGTCTTTTACGACGACGGAACAAAGTTGATCTATGGACCATCTGGAAAAAATTTAACGAACTATATAAGAAAAAATTATTCCTTTCTTTTATTTTGTAATCATCTATTTTGTTCTTGATGTTTTTTATTATGTTGTTTCAACAAAAACAAACGAACTTAACAAATACTAAAGATTTATAAGTCATCGTCTTCATCATTAGAAGGTTCTTCATCATATTCCGAAGAACGTGAATCTTCTTCATTGATATCATCTTGGATTGACGAATCACCTTGCTGATCCTTCATTAGATTCGAAGCCTTGGTATCTTCGACACCTTTTTTCTTCTTCATACTATGAGCATAACTACGGAAAACACCATTGATGGCTTCACAAAAAGATCGCTTGTCGATTGTACCATGTTCTTGTACAACAAATGCTAAACAAAACGAAAACAATATAGATAATAGTAGGGGGCAAAATAAACGATCCCGCTCGTAACTATAAATAAATTTACCCTTAGCAAATTCAGCTTGTCAAGACTTAATTTTTAGGAATTGGAAAAATGAATAATATTTTCTTTTGCTTTTAGCCGCATACATTATCAAAAAATGAGAATATAACTTATGAAAACAAAAAAAGGATTAACCATTAGGTTTTATTTAATTTTCCATTCTCTCCCCTGGCTAATAGACGAGCTAGAGAAGAAACTAGACACAATTTACCTAATTAGAATATTCTCTTTCAATAACTTCACTCGAATTACTTGAAATGTAATATCAATCTTTTCATGAAATTTTACCTTTAATTAATTTTCGTTTTTCCATGGGTACATCCTTGCCACGACGTTTTTGACGTTTAGCTGGTGAATAAAGTAATTTAATAATTTGACGAGTAGTATTGGAAGCACTATTTCGAATACAGGATGTCAACAATGATGTCTTTTTAATGCCTAGTTTTTCAGCAATGCTATCAGTAGTTAAACCTGATGATTTCGGTTCAAGTTGTCTGCCAACTTGAATAAGCCAGTTACGTCCATCATCTCCAGGCATAGCTAGAAATATTATGATAGAAATAAATTTGAATTTGATGATCATAATGACGCTTACGCAAACTATTTTTCTTTAAACGTCGATAAGCCAGAAGAAGTTTGTTATATTTCTTCTCTAACGTACGATGTTCAAGTTTAAGTTTATTATATTTATTCAAAAAGTATTCTTCGTCTCCTTCAAGTGCATCAATGTCCATTTGACATGTATCATTTTGCTCTTCATCGTCTTCATCATTACCACTGAATTCGTCCCCTACAAAAAAGTATGTTTATATTAAAAATCAATCAACAAAAGTAGTGTGAATGGAAATTTAATGAAAAGTAATAGTTTCTTATTACCTCAGAAACAGTTAGTTACATATTTCAGTTTTTAAATTTAAAGTACAGAAAAGAAAAAACTTTTTAATTTTAAAATTAATCCTATATTTGTTTTGAATAATAAACAAAACAATACTGATTAATTTTAAGAGTATAATAATATTTGAAGCAAGAATTCAACGATTTCCTACAATATAAGTAGCTATAATAATTAGAAATTTAAGAATTAGTTAAAGCATTCTTTTATTTTATTGCGTTTATAACGAAATCTATTTGGTAAGAGAACATTGTCCTGCCTATATTTTTTGAACATGTTGCTTTATTTTCGAAATTTCTGTAGTAAAATACGTTTCATTTACCTAGTTCAGGACTTAGTTTACGTTTATTATTTGAATTTATTGCAGGTGTTTGTAATGATGTTGATGAACCTAGTGTTGATGAACCTGGTGTTGTACGATTATTTTTCGGCGTGCAGGTATTTGAATCAATTATTGATGGTGAGTTTGTAGAAGTTTCAAAAGTAATAGATGATTTACAAGATGAAGAAGTACCAACGATTACTTTCTTTAACACTATTAAGAAAAAGATCAAATTGTTTTTTCCTTAAAAAAAACTTGGTTTTTTTCAAGTCGAAAATACTCGTCAATGAAATCTTATAGAAAAAGTCTTTAGGATTCATAAGACTCAAGCTATAAATAACTTCGAATAGTACTCAACATTCTAAATGTATTCTATCTAATAATATTTTCAAAAAAATGGTTTACTATGGTCCAATGTTTTTTGATTTCCATCTACTTGACCAGTAGAAGATTTCATGGATAACATCGGATTGCTCGGAGGTTTTTGAGATGTTTTTTTTCCAGATACTGTTTCTTTTGAATTTGCAACAGCTGTAGACGCAGATGTTCGATTGTTGTTTGACAATAGGTTATCTAAAATAAAACTCAATTTTTTGAAGAAAAACGTAAATGAAAAACAATACCCGATGTTTTTGATATTTTTGTTTTTCGAATAATTGAATTCTTGTTCAGCTTATTGATGTTCAAGCCTTGTTTTGCTGCTGATTGACATCCATATGAATCTAACGGCACAAAAAAATGTTGAAAGAAACTCTCAATACTGAACTGACCTGTTGTTGTTTTGATTTTTTTCGTAACCTTTTGAATAGAAGATTGTTGATTGACCATGTTTTCTTTATTTACATCTATTTTTGATAAACAAAATTGTATTTTTTCTTTCAAATATATTGCTAATGTGAAAAATTTCCTCGATCTCGTATTAATTATTAATCGCCCTTTTTTTTTTTACTAATTTAAACTCTCACGCCCAGCAGCATTTTTCTGCTTATAAAACAAATCAATATCGTTACTTCAATTAATCTTTGTCTCATATGTTTCTCATATGATATCATATGATATCATATGATCGAATAGTAAGGATGATAACAGGAAAGACAAAAGTTAGTAAACTGAACTACGACCATGTAGGAAAGAAAAGAATTATCTTTTGTTTTCTATATAAACTACTTGGTATCTTTATGTTTCTTCCCGGTCGCTTTAACTTAAAGTTTATATCTGTATTTGCAAAATAGATATCAATCATATTGATCATTCTATTGGTTTTTTTAAACTAAACAGAACAGTTTGTTTAGCGGTGCAACTTAAAGTAATAAAAATAAATTATTCAAGTTTTGATACATTCTAATGTAATCATTACCTTTATTATTACAAACACGATCATGCAATGTCTGTTCATGTACTTGTATTTCAGATGTATTAATTGTTTCATCCATACCGGAGATTTCAACATCATTTTCATCACCAACGCTGGATAATATATGTACTTGTTGAGTACAATCATCTTCTGATCCTAACATAAACAAAATCATTATATTAACTGCAACAATAAATGAGGTATAATAAACACAAATAGTAGAATATATATCCTATTAACTGCTACAATTATATGATCTTAAAGAGAGATTATTCCGTCGGAATCTCTCCAGCTATCTCAAAAATGAAATCATGAATCTATTTGAAAAGCATAGTAGATATTAAAAACTGTGAAAATAATTTTAAAAAAATATTTGTTACATATCTTCTCACATCAATCACAATCATTAGAAAAAAAGTAATTAACTCACCAAATAAAACAATTTTTCCTCTATTAGTACCACGACACTTCAAATCGACCTTATATGTAACTAAATCATTTGTTTTTAATGGTCGACCAAAATTAACAAGATTTTTGACAGGTAACACAATGTATTTAATAACACCTTTATTACCACTATTAGTTTGAATGATAACATGAGTATGATTTGTTTTTGTAATGCATGATGATGTAGGAGAATCAGCCAAACTAATTTTTGAATCGTATCTTTCCATTTAAAAAAGATTTATTCGAGTTGCAAGACGATTTGTTCACTTGCTTATCTAGAAAGAACACAATGAAAAGTTGTTTGAGAATAGCTAAGTCGTTAAAGCTTAGCCGTTAAAGCTATTGTTTATATTTGAAAAATGTCTCTAACACATGGCAGATATAAACAACTAACGTATCGTGTTTTGAACGCTCTCACGTTGCTGATTTTTCTTTTTTTTTTTTTATAAATCATCAAATAATAAATTATAGAACAATTTTAATTCGTTACAATTTTTTTTCTTTATTTTTTTATTCGCTTAATAGAATCATGATACTAATTGATGAAAAATATATTGCTTTATTATATCTAATTTATGAAGTTCGAAATATAATCCATGTTTATAAGCATGGTTTGATATACAATATGTGACAAAAGTTAGAACGATTTTTTTTATTTAAATTCACTATTTTCTTGTTAAGTAAATAGCAAAAAATAGATTTTCATTTTTGTGTGAAATCAATTGACAGGTGTTGGCTATGCCTTTGTAAAAATAGTACTTGAGTTGTTAAGAATAAAAAATATGATTCATATCAAGTATTACACATACTTTTGATAAAATATAAGCCGTTAGGCTGCAGATAAAACTGATCAAATGTAAGATTAGATCTTAATGTACATATAATTTTAATCTTCCAATTTCAAAACTGGAGAAATCAGCCACGATCGATACTTTCATCAATCAAAATTCAAGTGATGTAACACCAAAACCAATGTTCAATTCTCTTATCTTTAATATTTATATATTAATAATAATATGGAAAATTATTCAGCGATCGATTATTAATGAATTCTACAATTTTAAATATTCTTTTGACATATTAATAGGTTTTCTTTCAACTTCACAAAAAATACTTTTTCAAATAACCGTGCTGATTTATCTTTATTCTTCTTTATAATAGAGAATAGATATGTATAAAATCCTAACTTTTAAAGAATAAGAATTATTAAAATCTTCATTTATGTCCATTCAATAAACATAAATAAGTTCTTCACTTTCGAAAAATAAGTGTAAAGTAAATAACAAAGAAAGATTTTTTTCCTGCAATAACGTAACCTTTTATTTTTTTAGACATCTTATAAAAACTGTAGCGTCATTTATATGAAAAAAATACAGACGAAGTTTTTGTATATCTTTTCATGTATCATCCTCATTGTAAACTATATACTTACCTAACTTAGAAAAGATTTTTCATTCTTTCATTTTTCTTCATTATTTAAAAATAAAGAATTTATTTGTCTTTGTTGTATAAAAATAACGATTTTATTTTATGCTTATTTTATAAAAATAGCGATTTTTTATTGATGCTTATTCTCTAAATATAAATATATTTATTTTATAAATATGCATATTTTATTCCATTTATTTTATGAATATAAATATTTTAGCTATTATTATTCTATGAAGTAAAAATAAACTAATAACTTTATTTCCCTTTATTATATAAAATGTAGAAAGAATTATTCATTTCGTTCAAAAGCATAAAAACACTTTCGAGCTACGGATGGCTCAGCGCTACTTATGGCTGCTTCTCAATCGACTGATCGTTGGTTCGAATCTCGGTTCAAGCTGTTGTTGGAAAATTACCACTCTGTTGCTCACAGGATTTGAGACTTATATCATAGCTCGCTATGGTGCGTCGGTTCGATTCCGATACAGAGTGATGGTTATTTTTGAAATTTTTTTGGGATAAAATAAACGCATCCAGACGCGTTCGTGTCACGACATGCGTCACGATGCGTTCGAAGTGGTAGCATCATCTACACGCATTAGCGTTGCTATTCGAGGTTGTACGCCGTTTTATTTTCTAACGCAGCCGAACGCGTTCAACCTAAATGTGGTGTTTCCACAGATTAATTGCCGTTGATGCAAGCACATGTGGCTTTATTCATAACCGTACTGAAACGCATCTATGTCAGGAAACGCATTGAGATGCATCTTTAAGTATGAGCGCGTCATAACTCGTTTCTAATACACATGGGTTTAGACGAGTTTGGTTTCCTGAACGCGTTTGAACACCCAAAAATGTTGCGTTTTGGACGCGTACAAACGCAGGCTTGTATGTAGACGAGTCCTGATGCTGTCAAAAACCAAACGAGTGAGGATGCGTTTCTGTAATCTGAGCGCATTTGAACACCTGAAAATGTTGCATTTTAGATGCGTTCAAACGCACTCCTGTATGTAAACGAGTTCTGATGCTCTCAGAAACTAAACGAATAAGGATGCGTTTCTGCAGTCTGACTGCGTCTGGACACCCGAAAATGTTGCATTTTGGACGCGTACAAACGCGTCAAGTTCTCTTGCGTTAAACGCTCAGAGACGCGTTACAAATCTAAAAATGGTTACATGGGTAGATCTTGATGAGATCTGTCGATTGATATTCAATCCAGAGAGGATCACTACCATTACAGAAGAGCATTAAGTGATATTCATCATACAACTTCATATTTGGTATTTGTCATAAATCATATCTCTTTACAAGGAAATGCAAAGAATAGTCTTCTCTGATTTATTCATACATTACTCGATAAAGAATTGAAAAAACTTCATTTTAATATATGAATCGACTAAGATTATGAATGAGAGAATATGAGCTAATTTAGATAGTAATTGATGTCGGATCATTGTATCGACAAAATGAGGAAGACAAAGTTAAGTGGCGACATGGGGTCAACTTTGTTTATTAACGACCCCTCTTCATTGCTTTGTTTAAAAATGAAAA